TTAAAAAGTACTGTGGTTTGGTAAGAAATTAATGTATTTTCCAAATTTAATCAAAATATGTTCATAAACAAGCAAACTACAACAGTTGACTCTCCATAAGAATAACATGGCAATTTTAAAATTACAATTTTTTTGAATTTTCTCCGTAACAATTAGGCGCATAATAACGCTTCAATATACTAAATTATTTGTTTTTTTAAGCTCTATAAAATGGTTTAAAAAGTATTTGTGAAATTTTGTGTTTTTAGGGTCAAAAATGGGAAAAACCTATTTTTACCCCATAAAACCCCCCATAAACCCCCGTTCCCATAGTCCGATCATGCTGGTTCGCGAACTCATTCAAGTTTATCCCGCCTTACACCTTCAAACCAAATTTTATCAAAATCGGACAAAAATTACTCTTAAGTTATCGTGCGGATGGACACACACACATCTTATTATAAATGTGAAAATTTGTGTGTTTGTTTGTTTGTTTGAAGTTCAATCACGCATAAACTACTGGACTGATTGGGCTGAAATTTGGCATGATGATAGCTCACATTCCCGATTAACATTTAGGCATATTATTATCTCAAAAATCCTTTCGGGCTCCGCCCCAGTGGCTCTGTAGTTCCCCATGTTAACCTTATGAGTATTCATATTTAAAGGGAATTAAAGAATTTAGTCAGCTGTTTCAACTAAAAAAGTTGGTTCTATGAATACAAAAGCATTAACAAGTTATAAGATTTACCAACAGGGTGCAGCACTATAATTTTTTTTGCATTTATGTAAACAGCTAATTTGAACTAAGCAGCAACAAAAAAACTGTGATACACAATGAGAACTCTCAAAAGTAGGATTGTTTACAGTTATGTTTAAGTTTTTAATGCCATGAATAATTTGTGAATTTGTAATAATTTATTTTTCTTTATTAATTGTTAAGGTGAAGTATTAGAACATTAGGTATAAGATGTACCATAGTATACCGTCAATTTAAGGAAGCAAATTTTATCAAACTTTGTCCTCCCCCATTGCAAACGCAAAGCTTGAGTATAACTGCAATAAGCATTTTAAACTCAAATGCTAACCCCGTACGAAGGACGGGTACTCTGCTAGTATATATATATATATATATATATATATAGATATATAAAAATTTGAACGAATGGTGTTTTTGGCCTCTGGGGACATCAAAATGAAAAAGTAAATCGGTCCCGGGCTTAGGTCTTACCATGAGACCTACGGTAATAGCTACTTCCCTATAGGGAAATTCGCTAAAATAAAATGTTTGGTGAAAAAAATGAAAATCGGCTCATGAATTTGTAAGATAATCCCCCCCCCCTTTCCCACTACCGATAACTTTTTTTTATAATAGCAAGGTACCCCTTGTGACATATCAAATGACAAATGAATTTCACCAAAAATTTTCTTTTTCCCATGCTCTTTCATTTGATATGTCACAAGGAATACCTTGCTATTTAAAAAAAATAAGATGTAGGCAGAGGGAGAGGGGGGGGATGTGAATGTAACGTTGAATTCAAAACAATTGGGCCCCCTACGTCAATAGATGATTGATATGATGGGTTACGTACCTTTTTTATTCCGTCGTCAGCCCTAAAATAGTCAAAGGGTGACTAGTTTCGGGTCAGAAATGACCCATTTTCAAACCCATTTTCATCAAATCGATTGGTCCAAAATCCGACAGAAGTCTTCGTTAAGAGGTACAAACACATGTCGACACATAAAGTTCACACATTTACACAAAGCACATTTAAATAAAGCAGCCGGCTACATTTTATAAGAGACACACTGACGCAGGTAGCACGGCGGACACGACGGAACTAGCCGTTGTCGAAGCGGTGACATTGACCTTTGGGGTGGGGGTGCGTCAGCTGATAATGGTTAGCATTAGATACATTGTTGACAATTTCTATCCTATCGAATAATATGTTAGAGTCGGAATTTAGTTTTTCGTTCAGAACGTTCTGGGGGGATTTTTTTGTGGCTTTATAAAATGTTCTCTAAAATGTTCATGAGGGCACCTTTACTGCACTTGTGTAAAATTTGTAGATTATTTTGGCAACTATTGATGTTATGGTTGGCATTTAGCAAATGTTCTGCGAATTTGGAACGCTGTTGTGTCAATTTTGGTTTAGGGAGGTGTTCCTTGAACCTGGTTTTGAATGAGCGTCCTGATTGGCCTATGTACAATTTAGGGCAGTCGTTACAAGTCAACTGGTAAACACCAGTACCGTCTAGGTTGTCAGTATTATCTTTGTAGCTAGACTGGTTCAAATGACGTTCTAATTTGCTTGATGTTTTAGTGGCCAAAGTGATGTTATGTTTTTTCAGTTCGTTCTTTAAAGTGTAATGTAGACTGGCACCAAATTCAACAGAGACGAAGTTGCGAGATTTTTCATTTTGTTTAACAATATTGTTTTTATGTTTGTTCATAATCTTATCAATAATATTGCTGGGGTAACCATTATTGATAGCTATATGTTTCAATATAAGATATTCGTTATTGTAATCTTCTATGGACATTGGGATTTGTTAACAGACTAATGAAAATCCCAATGTCCATAGAAGATTACAATAACGAATATCTTATATTGAAACATATAGCTATCAATAATGGTTACCCCAGCAATATTATTGATAAGATTATTAACAAACATAAAAACAATATTGTTAAACAAAATGAAAAATCTCGCAACTTCGTCTCTGTTGAATTTGGTGCCAGTCTACATTACACTTTAAAGAACGAACTGAAAAAAACATAACATCACTTTGGCCAGTAAAACATCAAGCAAATTAGAACGTCATTTGAACCAGTCTAGCTACAAAGATAATACTGACAACCTAGACGGTACTGGTGTTTACAAGTTGACTTGTAACGACTGCCCTAAATTGTACATAGGCCAATCAGGACGCTCATTCAAAACCAGGTTCAAGGAACACCTCCCTAAACCAAAATTGACACAACAGCGTTCCAAATTCGCAGAACATTTGCTAAATGCCAACCATAACATCAATAGTTGCCAAAATAATCTACAAATTTTACACAAGTGCAGTAAAGGTGCCCTCATGAACATTTTAGAGAACATTTTATAAAGCCACAAAAAAATCCCCCCAGAACGTTCTGAACGAAAAACTAAATTCCGACTCTAACATATTATTTGATAGGATAGAAATTGTCAACAATGTATCTAATGCTAACCATTATCAGCTGACGCACCCCCACCCCAAAGGTCAATGTCACCGCTTCGACAACGGCTAGTTCCGTCGTGTCCGCCGTGCTACCTGCGTCAGTGTGTCTCTTATAAAATGTAGCCGGCTGCTTTATTTAAATGTGCTTTGTGTCGTAAATGTGTGAACTTTATGTGTCGACATGTGTTTGTACCTCTTAACGAAGACTTCTGTCGGATTTTGGACCAATCGATTTGATGAAAATGGGTTTGAAAATGGGTCATTTCTGACCCGAAACTAGTCACCCTTTGACTATTTTAGGACTGACGACGGAATAAAAAAGGTACGTAACCTATCATATCATTCTACATCAGTCCTGGTGGCAATAATGTTTAAAATAGATGATTCCCGCAAACTGCATATTTCTATCTATTGCGGTTTTTACATATATAAAGATGCAAGTTTAAAAAAAAACACCCTGTATATAATTCAGTTTTAAAAAATCTTTGTACAACTAAATCTAGAGTTCTACTGGACCGATTTTATTAATTAATGGGTCGTTGGAAAGCTTAATTCTTGTTTAAAATAAACAGCTTTTAACAATAAGCTGCAAACAGTTTTTTAGTCATAAACCTAAATTAAATACAGGTATTTTGCAGTGAATTTAGTTTCCAAATATAAGTTAACATAATTGATAATTGGAAACATTATAACAACATTAAGTACCCTTTTAAATTCATTTTAATTAACAAACGACATGTTTCGACACTTAGGTCATAGTAATGTTTTTATACAAATACAATAACATTAATGAAAGGAATAAATATAGTCATATGTTGAGGTAACTTAAAATTTAGAGGATCTTGATCTATTCTTTGTTTAATTTTGCATGTATTATATAATATTTCTGTTTTATTGCAATTGTAGGATTTTTTTTTCGAATATTGGATTTGTTTTGTTGATGTTCATGGTATTCAGTAAATTTTGAGGAAATCTTTTGTAATTTGTGTATATATGAAAATCTTCTTTGACATTTAATTTTGTTTTATTTCTTTCTTATTCTAGAATTTCTAAATTTTCATTTATATTTTTGTATTCATGTCGAGTTTTGATTAGGTGCTCAGCAAAATTTGATTTCATTGTCGTTTTGTTACCTGATTTTAACGCTTGTATATGTTCTTGGAACCTTTTTTTAAAGCTATGACTTGTTTGGCCAATGTAGGATTATGGAACATAATTTAACATAAGTTAACATAAGTATCATGGAAAAAAAAATTGAAGAAAATGTTTGTAAAGCACAGAATCAAAACTTTCTTTCAGTCATAGTCATAGTCAAGAATCTTAATTCATAAGTATACACGTTGTCCATGGATAGTGTCAAATCAATTCAAAACTAAAGCTTAAGACTATAATATAAAGCCATTTTCAATTTATCTAAAGAGTATTATACAAGTGACATGCACATGTTTAAATCACATTTGTTTAGATCTTCTTTAGAATAAAATAGGCTTAACTAATTATTTTTTGTTTTGTTTTAAAAGCTTACTAGACTATTCCATGTAATAATGTATTTGACGATTGAGATGTGCATTGTATCATTTGTGCTTAATTCATGAATATAATATGTCTATGTCTTTGTACTTAACGTTAATCATATTTTTAAATGTGTCATTGAATAATGCATGTATTTTATTTTATGTGTCTATCTTTGATGTCTAATTACCATGATATATTTTTATTTATCACTATGATTTTTATTCCATAAAAAGTAAATTTTACAATTTTTAGTACATTCGAGAGTGAGTGTAAAGTTAACTGTGTTTGATAATCAGGTACATGGTGGTGATCTCGGAGGATGATATAATTTGCCGCAGTTGTACGACGATGCTCAACAATCTGGACAGACTGGAGAAGGAGATGAGTTCAGCACGAGCTGTAATCTTGCGATTTCTGGAGAAGAAGTATGAATTAGAGGAGGGGGAGCTGCTCAACAGCCAAGTGGTGCTTCCCCCTCCCCCCACCATCCCAGACTCTGTCACAGGTTGTAGCAGTAGTGTCTGCTTAGCAGCCAGTTATGTGTTTGAATATTAAAAAATGTATTATGGGTACACCTGACAATAATAAGTCAGTCTCTTAAAATAAAAACTGGCATAGTAAAAGATTACCTTCACGATCTAACAGATTATATACAGTAGAACCCCTCATATCCGGCCTTGGTTTTACCGGTCCTCTGTTTATCCGGCCCCTTCCAGGAAGCCAATAAGAAAATGTTTTTCTCACATCTTACAGACGTTTAGATGCAAGCACTAGTCTTTGCGCTTACTCAAGTCATAAAATAAATTGTTCTCACTATTTATCTGTTTGTTTATCATTTATTTACTGTGGTTGATTATTTTCCAAAGTGGGGTTAGTACAGTACAGTACCGTACATTAATTTTTGTAGTTCACAAAATGGATAAGAAAGTTGAGTAACTTATAAATGCATGTACCATTTAAAAATCTTCAAGTCAAATTCATTGTCATTTTACCTCCATTATTATTTAATATTTTTTGTAGGCCTACCTGGAATCATAGAATGTATTTGTACTATCATTGCTTAACGACTTTAGCTTACAAATAATTTGTTTTTCTTTTTAAGTTATACGGACATGTTTATTCTTCTAAAAATAATCCCTTGAACAGACTTGAATGATACTTTTGACTGCATATATTGATAAAATAATATTAGATCAATAATATTATTAGATCAATGGTCATTTTCATAGTAGGTTGGTTTATCCGGCTAAATCGTTATCCGGCCAGGGGCTTGGTCCCGTGGTGGCTGGATATAAGGGGTTCTACTGTAGTATATAATAGGTTACGTACCTTGTTCCGTCTTCAGTCTTAACTTAGTCAATGGATGACTAGTTTCGGGAACAAAGTCCCATTATCAAATCCTTATTTAAAACATCATATTGAATATGGTCAAATATCCGACGTAAGTCTTCATCAATGTATACATGCAGGTTGACGACACATAAAATTTACACATTTTACAAAAAGTTACAAATACATTTACGATAGGCCGGCCACAATGAATACGGGACAAACCGACGCAGGTTACACGGCGGATATGACAGCTATTTATTATTACGAGCTTAAAAAGGATCGTGGTGTACCTCAGGGTAGCTGTCTTGGACCTATATTATTTAACCTTTACACATCTGACTTTCCAAGATTTGTACAGCATTGCACGGTCAAAATGTACGCTGACGATTGTCAGCTGCAGTTATCTCACTACCCTAAGATGGCCGACATTGCATTTGGCTTCATCAACGATGACCTACAGAACATCTACAGTTGGTCTAACAAAAATGGTCTGAATTTGAATGTCAAGAAATGCTGCGCAATCCACATAGCACCTCAACAACTTGTACATTCCCTCAATGATAGATCCTTGACCATTATGTTAAATGGCGAAGTGCTCATGGTCAGTGACAAGGTCAAAACCCTTGGTGTCACATTGGACAGTGATCTATCCTTTTCTGACCATATTAGTCAGACTGTACAGCGTTCTGTTGGTAGGTTGAGGGGGCTGTACAGATTCAGAAAACTGTTCAAATTCAAATTCAAATTCAAATAGTTTATTGCCATTAAGTATACATGTCATACAATAGGCCAGGTCAATGGAGATAATATACAATTCAAAGTACAATGTACAGAGTCAAGTGTAAATAGATGAACATGCTATACTAATAAACTAATAATACTGGGTTTTTGTACAAAAGTATTTGATATGTATTGATAATGATGATAATAATACTGTTTATAGTTAAGCAAACAAGTTGGGTAAGTGCCTATAACAAAATAATTAAGGCTAAAATTGGCAGTAAGATACAGCTTAAAACTAAATAACAATAAATTTTTAAATAAAGTTCACAGAAATAACATTATTATGAAAGATTATATCACAGTTCATGAAACCATTATTACATACTTTAGAAACAATACCCTACTTAACAATTAGAATTTTACAGAAAATCATCATGTTTGAAAGATAAAAATTCCTCGATAGAGTAGATAACCTTTCTGTTCAAAAAATCGGTCAATACATTTTTCAGTGACTTAATAGGCAAGTTGCGTACATTTTCAGGGAGGGCATTGAAAAGTTTAAGTTGTAAATATTTATAGCTGCGCTGTGTTGAGGCCAGTCTTAATGATGGTAACTCTAAATTATTCCTTAGTCTGGTGTAATGATTGTGAGTTAATGAGCGAGATGAGAATTGTTCAATATTTGTTTTTACAAAAATGATATTCTGCAAAATGTACACACTTGGTAAAGTAAGAATTTTGTATTCAGGAAAAAAGGTCTTACAACTAACTCTACTTTTTATGCCAGCTAGGATACGGATTGCTTTTTTCTGTTTTTTAAAAACGTTAACTGCCCCACTACTACTGCCCCACAAAATTACCCCATAAACTAAGTGACAATGAAAGAATGCATAATAAACATTAATTAACATACTTAAACTAACATGATTTTTCAACCTCCTGAGCAGAAACAAAGAGTTACTTAACCTTGCAACAACCATTTCAGTATGACTACGCCAAGATAACTTACAGTCTAATATGATTCCTAGCAGTTTAGCATTTGATACTTCAGATACAAGATTTGTCTGTGAAAAAATAATTGAAACAGTTTTGTCATTGTTTACTGAAAATTTATTTGCCTTAAACCAACTATCGGCTGCTATTTTCATCTCCTCAGTTTTAATTTTTACCTCTTGCAAAGATTTGCTTGAGACTATTAAGGAGGTGTCATCTGCATACAGTTACTGATTTTGAAGGAAGATTAGATGGAAGATCATTTATTGCAATTAAAAACAAAAAAGGGCCAAGTACAGAACCCTGGGGTACTCCTGCTGTGACTTCTTTCCACTGAGAGGTTTTATTGTTGGCTGATACCATCTGATATCTATCTCCTAAATATGATTTAAATAGATCTAAAGTTTTATCTTTTACACCATAGTAACTTAACTTATCAATCAACAGGCTATGAGAAACACAATCAAATGCTTTACTTAAATCTACTAAAGTTAACTCTAAAAAGGCGTGTGATTCAAAAGCATTCAGAATGTCATCAACAACTGACTTATAAGCATCGATAGTTGATAAACCGGCTCTGAAGCCAAACTGGGAGTTGCTTAGAAAATTATGATTACTAAAAAAGGCACTTATTTGGTTATAAATACAACACTCAATAACCTTAGCAAATACCGGGACAAGCGCAATCGGTCTGTAATTTGATGGACATGAAGTGTCGCCTTTCTTGTGAATAGGCACAACTTTTGTAAGCTTAAGATTATTTGGAAAAACACCATTTTGTAAAACTAAATTGATAATGAATGTCAGAGGGGGAACAAGAGCATACTTGAGTTTTTTTACAATGTTTGTTGTTAAACCATAACAATCCTTGCTGGTGGAGTTTTTCAGATTATTGATGATTAAGTCTATATCTTGTGGAAATACATGCTCCCACATGAAGTTAAGATTTTCAGTATAACATTGCTTTGGATGATTATTAAGTAAATCAAAAGAACTAGGCCTATTTGAGTTGCAGAGTGCATTGTTGTTTGAACCATCAAAATTTGCTACATTGACAAAAAAGTCATTGAAGTTGTCAACATCTATAATAGGGTTGGATTTATTTTTATTAAAACTACCAGATTCAGACTTTATAATATTCCAGGCCTCCTTACTTTTGTTATCACAAGTATTGAGTTTATGGTCATTAAACTTCAGCTTTGCCTCTTTGATTTTGCTTTTGTACATTTTTTTGCACCTAACATAAAACTCTCTATTTCTATTTATATCACCTTCTACCATTAATCTGTTGTGAAAAATTGTCAAAAACTCCCTTATCTTTGCAAGTTCAGGTGTAAACCATTTATTTTTATTTTTCTTAGGTCTAGAGTGGATTTTACTGGATTTAATTTTTTTTACAGGACAAAACTCATTGAATTGACAAAGAACTACATTTAAAAAATAATCAAAGGCCTCGTTAACATCATTAATACAAAACAAGTCACTCCAGTCAGTGTTCAATAAACATACATTTAACCTACATAAACTATCATTAGTTACTTTACGAATTTCTATGAGATCATTATTTTGACTAGATCTAGCATTAACAAAGCCATCTAAAATATTCATATTAAGTGAAAAGTGGTCAGAAATTTTATAAGGAACTAAGTCTTGAACAAATTTGGTGAAATCAATATTTGTTATAAAGTTGTCCAGGCAGGCCTTATTATGAGTGGGCTTAAAATTTGTCAATCTTAAATTAAAAGAATTTAATAAATTAGAGAATTCTCTGGATTGAGGACTATCAACGAGTATGTCTATATTAAAGTCCCCACCAATAACAAGGAATTTATTTTTAAACCTGGAGTCAACCCAAACTAAAAATTCTTCGAGTCTCTCTAAAAAATCATAAACACAGTAGTCTGGCGTTCTGTACAGAGAAATAAAAAGATAAACGTCACTCACAAGAACTGCAGCTGCTTCGAAACCGCTAACCTCTGTCCATCGATGAATGTCGATGATCCTGAAGTCCAGGCCCTGGACTATGTATATTGCAGTTCCTCCATATTGGCCACCAGGTCGGCAGTAGGCTGCGGCGAGGTCGTATCCAGCAGGAATGTAGATTTTTGCTTCATCTTCATTTAGCCAATGTTCATTAACCAGGAGAATGTGACAACCATATTCCTCTAATAGAATATCCAACTGCAAAGTTTTGTTTCTGATTGATTGTAGGTTTGTACATACTATAGACATGGTCCTATTTTCAGAAAAATCAGTAGGCCTACTACTATCTAAGCCTTTTGATCTAGTAGAGATGTTTGTAAGTTTTTTGCCATGGTGTTCTTTAATTGTTGTGACCTAGTAATTTCAGGTGTAGGGAAACCAGCAAAATTTACAATACTACTATCTGAATCAGAACTCTGCGGGTCGCCATTATTTGAGTCATTTTCGCTAGGAACAAGTCCATTATAGGAAAGC